TTAAACGATTTTTGATAGACTTGACAGACAGAAGAATCATCTGCATGCAAATCTGTCACTATGATTATCCTTTTTATGTGGAAAGGTTTTATTCAGTATCCTTCCACAAAATGTTACATTTATTAGTCTGCTCTTGGTTGCAAGCCCAACTCATCAAAAATATCTGCTTCAGAAAACTGGCATCTTCTGGGGTCAACATCTTTCAAGATTTTTATTTTATGGAGGATTTTATTATGATGGAGCAACTGCTCCATCATGTAAGTGGCCGAGGGAGCTGCTCGTCCTCACACAGATTTCCAAACAAGTGACATTGACAACTGAGATTTTTCTGTTTTTCACAGCTACTACGGCTTATCTGTCTGGTTTCCCGATGTCATTAAACATCTGCAGTCAGATGAGTATGCGTCCCGAGTGAAACATTTCCACAATGAGGAGGTTTCACATTTCGTCTTCAACTTCACACTGGAAAATCAGATTCACAGCAATGGACAATACATCAATGACAGGTTTAGAGATTTCCTAATATCCTGACTTGTTTTAAAGCATGTTTTAAAGAATGCCCTAATAATCTAGTATTTTTCTCCATTAGCTAATGGTAGATGGGTTTGTTACTTTTTAATGGGAATTTATTTCTGCTCTTGATTTCTTATGACTCGTGGAGCATGGGGAGAAGTGGATCTGTACATTCCCTGGTGGTTCCTGCGTTGGGATCCCCCATGCAAACCCAGCTTCCTTGTCATCCTGAAAAACAGACCGAAAAGCCTAAGTTAATGATACTTCCTTTCACAGTAGGATTCAAAGGTTTTCAGACACAACACATGCGGCATATTGCAGGGGGCTGGGGAAGGACGTACTTTCATCTCTGTTGCTGGTTCTTTTCTTATACTGATGAAAGATGCTTCTGTGAAAATGCTGAACATTGAGAGGCTGGGATCTTATCACAGAAAAATAAAAGCTAAATGTTACTGTAAATCAATAAAAAGTATGAACTGCTCTGAAATGGGAAACAATACATTGGCAATGCCTTTTGTGTTTTTTAACTGAATCCAAACATATTAATGCTCTATCTGGACTTTACAGATAACTAGATAACTTAAGGGAAAATTAAACACAGCTATTTTAGGTATCTGGTTTCTCTTAAGAAATATACAGAACAACCATGTGAATGGTCTCCTGGATGTCATGGTGCTAAGTAATTATTATTTCCATAGGAAAATCTATATCTAAGTGAATAAAATTAATTATTTTGGTAATATGGGGCTTTTAAAATTATTTTTATAAGAACTTGCATTTTGACACAGTTAAAGGTGCATGGATTGCAGACAAAAAATAGCAGTTATCTCATTTTTAAACTAGCCATAGCTTCCCCATTCTGCTCCTTTCCAGGAGGTAGATGTTCTCCTAAAAGCAAAGAACCATCTACTGTCAGTAACTGACAGCACTCTGTAAACCAAAGTCTTACCAATTTGAGCTGAAAATTCTTGTAAAACACTAAATCTAATGTTAGTCTACTCTAAAACACTAATTTACTCTTTCAAATGCAGAAATTTAATAGGTCTCTGACAGTTATTTGAGATTCGCAAAACATTTTCCACAGAAGTATGAACTCTGATATTCTTCCTCCACAAACGTTTCAGTAGTCCACTCACCCTCAATCTCAATGTTTCCTTCATGTTCTTTCTTAAGTAGAAGATCCATCAGTACTTGGCTTTTTATTTCATTACATTTCTGTTGGGTTTTAATTCAAATCATCGCAACACCAATTTTGATATAGTCACAACATGTTTCCTGTCCAAAGGTAAAAAGTGCATCAGACGAATGTAGGACACGCATTCTGTTGTTTCTGTTCCAACTGACTAATCTAATTGCTAAACTTTCTTTGTTCTCCTCTGGAATTAGGCTACATTTTAAAATGGAAAGTGCTATATGAAAAATTATAATGAGTTGACACTGAACGCCAGCCTGATTTTAATCAGTCTGTCACAAATGATAAATGATACAGTAACTAAAACTAATGGGCTGAAAACACCATTCTTCTGACCAATACACAAATAGAATTCATTAGCTAGTAAGTCTTTTCCTGTGATAAACACAATTAGCTTTTGCTCTCCTTTCTCAAAAAGATGTGATTCCAACAACCTTATTGGCAAGAGAGTTTAATTCCTACTATTTCATAGGTAGCATATTTTGTGTGTTACTATTTCTACTATTAGTCTTGTAAGAAGAAAAATACTTAGCTAGTCACACTGGGTTTAATTAGAGCAGAGCCAGGCCTGTGTTGAGAAGACTTTGCCATTTTAACAGTTCTTACTGCCATATAAAAATTAAAGCACTGCTTTTCAAACTGTTGCCACTTCGGGTGAAGTCTGCCAGCAAAACTGCCCTTTTTTTACTTGTAGTTTTTTTCACACCTTCATATGAGATAAAAGACATCACAAAAATAATAATGTATTGCTACATCTGTCTTTTTTTTTGTTAGCATGAGGATGCTATTTGGTAGAATTGTACTAAAAAAGGCTTACAGCATTGTTTTAATCTAGTAACACTGAGGTAGAAAATTACTGCTAGTAATACACTTTGTCATTGGCTTTTTCTATGAACGACTTGATTGACAGTCATGATCAAAGGCCTGGGAGTTAAATGAGAGTCAGTAGGAAGATGTTCAGAAATAAGAAAAGCTATTGACAATTTGTTTATGCCTGTTTTATGTACACAGTTAATTGCGATTGCATCCACAGACACAGGAGTAACAAACACATACTCCCAGTTAGATATCTAGCTGTATAACTGGCAATGTAATTGTTGTGTTCATGTTAAATGATTTTGCAAAACCATTTTTTAACACATGGACTAATATGTCTTGCATTTGAGCCTGACATGGTGCCCAGTGTGTTCATCTGAAGAAACAGAGGTTCTTCAAAAAATTCTTTATTTACAGCTTGTTGCTACTAGCAGGTGCTTGTTTGTTCCAGGAGACTAAGTTTCTGGAGCATGATCTCCCAATTTCCAACTGTAATGTCAAATTACAAGTAATCGTGATTTTACAAGGCTATTCTATGAATGTCATGACATATTGGTTTTGGTTGATGGTTAAGGGCAAGTAATAACAGAAATATTATCAAAGAATTGGTATTACTGGTTGTGGCCAGTAACTATGTGGAGCTATTTGTCTTATTAATGCCTTTTCTGAACAATAGTATATAGAAGCAGCTAATCATTAATTATGCCTCCAGAATGCCTGTAAGGAATCTCCATTTCTGGGGTTGAGATTTTTTGCACCTGTACAGGTACATCAGCTTGACCTCTTGCTCTTTCTAACCTATGAAGGTAGACTGATAGAAATTATTTGTATTGGGCAGGTTTATTATGATGAAGTTTAAATCAGTAACCTTTGAAGATTCACTTTTTAAGAACTGTGTGTTTGAAGACATTACTTCACTGAACACATACTTCAGGAACTGTACTTTCGTGAATACCACCTTCTACAACACAGGTATTACGAGAAAAGACCTGAACATCCATTGTTCAGCTAAGTGTTCTCATCTTATGTTTATAATTTCTGGATTTCTCATAAGGCATACAAGAAGCCCTGCTGTAGGGAATAAAAAGCTATAAGAAGCAACAGGCCTCCGTAACGTTATAACAGAAAAGCGAAAGGATCACACCTGCACTAGAGATACCACAGGCCTAATATTGACTCAGATAATAAACAACTCTTTGATTTTAATCATCTCTAAAGACATTCATTCTGGACAGGACAAAATATATTTACTGCTTTACTGGTAGCTTTAACTGGTGTATTTTTATTTAGTCTAAATGAGACTGGTGAAATACTTTGTTCATTGTGCTTGCTGTGACATAGGAATCTGAGTTCAGGATTCAAACTACCTAATCTATAATCATTTCCACTCTCCTAAGTATTCTAACAAAAATAGGAATGTGTATTTTCATATGTTTAAACAGAGGAGTCTTTTATTTTTCAGTTTAAAAAACAACATAACTGAAAGTAGAACATGGCCAACTAAGCTTGTTGGAAAGGTGGGGCACTTCTTACTGCTTTCCTGTAACTCCAGCAATCATAATAGTAATAGAGTTAGGTTTCAGAGCAAGCAACGCCCAGCTTTCTTTGCATGGAAGGAAGGTATTCTTGATTCAGGTTATAAAGCTGGCAGGAGCAACAGAAAGTAAGTGGAAGTATAGAGAGAGATCTCCAAAATGGTATTGGAAGAAGAATGGCCTGAATGGTTTATGTAGTAACTCATCCGTGCTCAAACTGAAGACCACAAGGCTGTCTCAGAAATGAAAATTAGTTTAATCTGAATTCTGTAGGAACGTTTTGCTTTAAAGGAAGTCAAACCAAATTGAGCACAATTGGCAGTCTCGACTGAAAGGCTCTCTGGTGTGGAAATAGAAGGTCTGATACCGAGCAAGACCGAGTGATAGAAGTTTGCAGATAGTCAGTGTTTTTTATGTAAGATCAGCTGGTACTGAAAGGCCTTAATCAAATACAGTCCAAGCAGAGCTGAAATACAGTAATATAATTTGCCTAATTCCAGGCCTTAGTTGCTCTTTTTCATGAACTTTGCATATTTTTCTATTAAGATAAAAAGGTATCAAAATTAACAGCAATAACTAGTCCCATTATATGAAGAGTCAGATCTCCAAGTTGTCATTAAAGTTGCCCAAACTTGAAATGTTTTTAATCAAAAGCTGCACATGGAGTCAGCTGTTAGCTGAAATGTTTCATTTTCTTCTTTCCACAGATCTCGAGCAATATAAATTTGTTGACAGCGAATTGATAAATTGCACATTTTTCCACATCAGGACAGGATGCCAGATTTCTTTCGATGATGACTACAGTGCCTACTGGATTTACTTTGTTAATTTCCTGGGAACTTTGGCAGTGTTACCGGGGAATATTGTGTCCGCTCTCCTGATGGATAGAATTGGACGGTTAACAATGCTGGGTAGGGGCTTCACTTTAAAATGGGGAACACCACCAAAACCTAAAGCTCTCCCAATAAAGTAACATGTTCTCTTTTTAAAGGATTTGGTTCAGAGAGATGCAAAACATTCCTTCTGCAGATACTTTGTTTAAGTGGTGTCATAAGGGCCATTTTTTTAAAAAAATGTTTAGAAACTCTAGGAACAAAAGGTTCTCCAGCCACTTCTGCTAGGCCACATTATCAGTCATTGCTCTTCCACGCTGATATTACAAGACTGTTATTTAGGCATTTGGGATGAGATTTTGGAGAGTGCTGACCATTGGCTTGTCTTTGCTCCAGCTGAAAGGAAAGCAAGATGTGCACAGGTGACCCTCAGCTAGTGGAGTAGCTACTCGAAAGAGTCAGCAGTCCTTTACCTGTTATCCGTTTTGCAAAGTAACACAGTTGAAAGATATCACCTATGGACTATCTGCAATGACAAATCTGTTTTCAATTTACTGAAATAACAATGTGGTAGTTCATTGTGTTAATTTTCTAGGAGAATATCTCTATATAAATGCAATTCCATTCAATGTTTTTATTGCTACAACATATGAACAAGTTTTTTGTAATTGCAGAAGATGAGGAACAAGGAAGAATGGGAGTCATTTTCCCCAAGAAGCTTGCTTTGGGACTTCAGAGAGGGTTCCAGCTTAATACTATATGATATATCCTAATATTTGAGGAGTTATGATTTTTTTCTTTGAGCCCCTTACAACGTTTGCCTGCCTGACTGGTCTTACCAGCAGAGGAGGTCTCTGTAGTTTTTAACTCAAATATATTGATCAGCTATTTAGCTACACTGTGAATAAAAACATTAGACAAAGCAAACAAAGATTATTCTTTAAATACAGCTCCACTTCGTGTTTGTTTCACTTGTCCTGTACCTAGGTGGTTCCATGGTTCTCTCTGGCATCAGCTGTTTTTTCCTGTGGTTTGGGACCAGTGAATCCATGATGATAGGTATGCTGTGCCTCTACAACGGCCTCACCATCTCAGCGTGGAACTCTCTAGATGTCATTACTGTGGAGCTATATCCCACAGACAGAAGGTATGTGCAGATACACCTCCCCTAACCTCACTGACACTATCTCTAAGTAGCAGCAGAAATGGTAAATAGACACGGTTACGTATGAGCTTTACAGTGATAACGACGTTTTTACTGTGCTGAAGCTTGTCTTATGAATAGCAAGGGGAGAAAAGGGGTTTTTTTGAGCAATTTAGTATGTATTTTGCATCACATATCACCTAATCAGGAAAATACCACAAATGTAGTTTCATATGAAAAAAGAAGGCCTAGCTGCTACTCTCATTTAAAACACAGCTAACGAGTAGTATTTCTGAAAACAGCAATGGAATATTTCTGGGTTTCCCCTAGTGCCACTGGCTATGAAGGCAGTAGTTGGTCCAAAATAGCAATATAGCTGCATTTGTATGTTGGCTGTGAAATGGTGGGGATGATAATAAAAATCACTGTCTGGAACTGAACAGTATCTTCTGGAAGAGGTTGTGGGCTTGAACCATGCTGAGCTGTAAATCAGTCTGCTACAAATTTGTATGCAGGGTTGCTAGGAGTGTACATACTCAGCATTAAGCAGATATAAAAATGTCTTGGGCACTGCTGCTGACTTTTCATGGCTCTTGCAGGAAAGCTCAGGACAATTTTCATGTCCTGCAAGCATTACTACTAGACGACATGGTGGGTTTTTTCAGATACAGGGTATTTTTTAATGCTGATCTTATGTCACTTAATGGACTGAAGGAAAAACAGTCGAGTCATATGCTGTTGTATGTCAAGTGTAAAAATGTAGAAGCGGGATTTTCTTGAATAGACTGCGATATTTCTCCTCCCTCCCGTCCTTAAACAAATTTTATGTAAAATTGCCCAGATTCCTGCCAAAGGACAGTGTGTCCTTTCTCCTGTCACAGTGCTATTCATTATGTCATTCACTAGGAGTTTCCAATACGGTGAAAAATATTTCCAGTTTATAAATGTGTGATGCCTTGCGGGCAAGTCTAAGTTTCTGGACAGAGGTGCAACTGGCTTTGGTATTTTCCATTCAGGAAAGGAAGACTGTAGACTGGCTTCTCTGTTTTCTTTTCATTGGTATTTTTAAAATATATGCTTCTTCACACAAGAAATTGATGTCCATTGTTGTGGTTGTATCGAATAACCATACTAGGCTACTTATGAATCCAAAGCACTAAGCTTTAATATTAAGCACTACTGTTTTTATTACACCTCAGTAAACTGTTCTTCTGGGAAGAATTATTCTATCATCCAAACTCTATGATGTAATTCTAATAAATATCCTTTAGAAATAGCTATCTTTTTGGTATTCCTGAATGTAGCAGCCACAAATATTGTCTTAAAATGAAGTAAAGAGAAATAATTGCAAAAGTCATTGATGTTAATGGAAGAAAAACTAATCATCACTACTAGGAATGATAGAAGGAATGTAGCTGATATCTATTCTAGAGCATCTGTCTTTGTAGCTAATAGTTGTTTTTAATAGTTTCTGCTAGCTTTGGGATTGTAGCAAATTCTTCCCCATTTTTCTTGATAAAAAAGCTTATGTGTGCAATAATAGCTGTCTGAATTCCACCTCAGAAATTTACTTGCAACTGGGTTGTTGGGGTTTTTTGCAACAATTCAGATAGGAAACTTATCACTTTATATTATTGATATAAAAAGGCTGATAGGCCGAATCTACCAGTGCCAGGAAAGATGTTGCTGATATATACTGTAGATGAGATTTTTTCTTCAAAGTTCCAAAAGCGATGGAACCATCACTGCCAGTTATTGCCAGCTGGGTTGTAAGGACATGAGCAATTCTAGAACTCACTTTCTAGACATGTTTTTTTTTAGACTGGGGCCAAGCTTCTTCATGTTTTATAGAACTATTTGAAAATTGTTTCCCACACTTTTTTCCCTGGTGTTTTTTTATCCAGACTAGCTACAGTTTAACAGCCACCATTGTCCACCTCTGACAGTCCTGTCTTTCCTTCTAAGACTCCTCTGATCACCATAGCCTGGCACGACTTGAATATCCAGGTTTTGCAAGTAGCTGTAGGGCTGAACAGCCTTTCCAGGCATATATGGTATATGAAGTTGCCTGAGCTGTTTTTGCATATGAGGCCCTTCATGCTTAAGCTGATGTCCTCTTGTACTTTAAAGTTGCATCCAGAGTGAATCTGGTCCTGAAACTGCCTTCCAGTTTCCCCTCAAAAGGCAATCTAGGCGCAACAACTTTTCTCACTCTGTCACTCTTTTACTATTCCAATATGTACTTTTTTCCTACTCTCAACCAGTGAAAAGACCACAAACTGGCAGCAAAGTGCAACTGGAGGTTGGGCTGGAATAACAGTGTGTGGAAGGAGGCCAGTTCATGCTGCCATGCACAAAAGACCAGGCTGGGCAGCCCCTCCTTTTCCTCCTGCACGACTCCTGTTGGAGACCGGCCAGCTGCCAAACCACCGGGGCTTTGCCAGTGTCATGCAGGCTAGTACAAAAGGTGTTTCATAAATTGTACTCCAGGTTATTTAGGGATCATACTGGCTTTTTGCCAGGTAGGGGTGTGGTGAGCAATTTGGAAATGAGCAGTGTATATGATACACGGCACACATTTCAGTTTCTTCTTCATCAGCTGCCCGCAGGGCAAAGTTAAGGTTGCTTCAAAATCTTAACAGATTTGGATTCCATATGTATTCACACTCATCTACCTATTTACATTTTAATTTACTAATGCCTGGATTTGAGGTAATTATGTGGTTTGCCCTAAATTCTTGATGACTACTTTCAAATTTTATGCCATTGTAGCATATCTTTTGCCTGCATATTCTTTATAAAATCTCAGTTGATTTGCACAACTGGTAAAATAAGAGCTGTTAGAAACTATATAGATTTCAAATGGTTCTCAGGTAGCTGACGAAGTTGTGTTAAAAGGTGAAGATATGTTACTACTGCTAGCCATAGGTAGGATTCTGTCTTCCATATTACACACATGGTGGTAACGATTAATCATTTTATTTTTTTTTTTTTTTTTTACTTTTCAAGACACAGATTTTAAAGGACACTCATGATGACTAGCTATAAACTAGCTGATTTCCAATAAGCAAGTTAATTAACCAGCTCCACAGTGTAAAGAACTTGTATGAACTCATCTTTTGTCTTACCTTTTCTTTTGTCTTTTGCCTTATTTTCTTAATGGCCAGTGCTATTCTGGACTGCTCAGCAGTCAGCAGGTTCTGAAAAGTCTTTAGTTGGTGATGACCCTCTTGAGGGCCAAACCAGGCTATTCCATAGCCATGGAAGCTCTGCTCTGAAGGAGAGATCTTAAACGTCTTGCAAACATTTTTGGGTGCTCCTAGAGTGCTTTCTTACTCTTTTGTAAACTTTCCATATTTTCCAAACATTGCTTTGAAAGGAGATGATGTAGAAATTGAGGCATATAGGAAAAAGACATTGTTAAAACAGACTTTAGGTGCCTAATTTGACAATCCCAGTAACTGAGCATTTTAGAAGAGAGAATGGGCTGAAAGTATAACTTCCACTGCAGCTGTAAGTGCTCAGCATTTCAGCAACACAAACCTGAAGGTGCTAAGCGGAACACTGAGAAAACGTGAAATGCATACTTAATGAGCATCTAGTTAGCTTTAAGTGACTTGATTGCATCATATACAAAATCAGCGGCAGGAACATGGATTCTATCCTTTCTCCTGACAGCACTTAACTACCTTAACCACGAGACTGCTTTCTCATCTTGCAGTCCCCAGCCTTATTCACAGTGCACCTTCCAACTTCTGCAGTGGATGAGGGAAACCAAGTTTTCTTCACTACATATATGTTTTACCCCTCAAGCTCTCTTTGTTCTGTGCATTGGCAGAGTGATGCGGAAAAAAAATACTGTGCGATGAGGTAGTTATGGCTTGTGTTGTAATGTGTGTGCCCAAGGGGCTTGCAATAACATTGCACAGTTTCCTAGCTCTGCCTGTAATATAAATATGAATGGAAGAGAGTTAAAATTCTCTGAAGAAGTAACATTTAGGAGATGTTTATGACTTTAAAATGCAATCATTACTTTCACACAAATGATAAATATCTTCTTGTGAACTAACTTGGGAAACACCAACTTTATAAGCCAAGACTCTTGTCAAGGAGTGGACACAACAAACAAGCCAAACCTAAACAGAAATAGGAATAGAAATAGGTCATCTCCCGCAGAATAAATCAAGGTCAGATTGCATCAGATAACCAACAATTCATCAGTTTTACTACAGCTGCCAGACATCTGGGTTTGAATCTTGTCCAGGAATATTTATAATTCAAGGTGTGCTATAAAATGAAGTCATCCTGGTTTGCCTTTTTTTAATACTTCAGAAGTAAGTTCATAAGGGTTTGGTCATAATTAAGAAGTAAGTTACCTATCTTCAGTTCATTATATTTATCTTTTTCTCGTCTTCTTGAGCCCTGAGAATCTATCTCCAGAGTAATAAACATTATTCACAGGGTATCTTAAGTCCAACTTTTTATTGTTGTGGCTATCAGAAGAGAAGTTTTCTATTCTTTTGAGTCATAACAGCAGTCATTGACTTACAGTAGACTTCCTAACAGCTATTTTCTACTGCCATCCTGTGGATGTGATTCAACAACATTTTGCTGAAATTTCATGTTAATGTTTTTAAGGCATGACATGCCGAACCTGTGCAATGCCTTAGGCCGTAGTCCAAGGCAGAAAGGCAAATTCCACAGTTTTACTTGCATACTGAGTGCTGTAATTGGCCAGGCTATGATATGAATCTCTATACTCATTTTTTAAAAGATCTTAAAAGGTCTGGACATTAGAAAATTGTCCATAGTACACTCAGAAACTCTCTTTTCATAGCCTTTACATATTAACAACACCCACAAACATGATATTCAGAGTTTTTTGTAAAGTGCTGGACAGGCTCAGTATTAGCTCTGGCAAGAAGGTTATAAAAAATCTGTGCTACACATTTAGTAGCACTCCACTACAGGACAATGAAGTCCTGTAGTACTCTGACTATCAGCAATGGAGAAGTGGGCCTGAAGTATTTTACGTAGGAATATAAGCACCTGGTCTAAGAAGCAGCATATGTGGCAACCAGGAAACAAGCTCTTTTAATCTAAAGGCTTGGATAATCCCTCTATTTTTAACTGTTTGGACTCTTGCCATTTTTATGTGGGGCTTGGGTAAAAAGAAGCTCAGTGTTTTTCATTGTCGCAGCTTTCTCAGCAAGAGAAGTAAAATACATTGGGGAAAATTCCTTTTTTCTAACATCCAGCTTTCTCTCAGACCTGACACTTTTATAGGACTTTCACATTTTTCTCCTACCAGTACTAAACTCTGTAACTTTTTTTTTAAGGCAATCCCAAATTGATTCACCAGCATTATCTTACTGATGTGTCTGAAAGATTTATTGGCATTCTCTAGCTGGACAAGGGATTCTTGCTGCCAAACTCCCTTGGCCAGTAATAAGGATTGCTCATGGAGTCAAAAAGACATTTTTGTGCCAGTGCTTTGCCCCATAACTGATCAACAGAACGGAAATTGGTGTATATAGTGATGGCCTTATAGCTTTGGAATTTTTCACTTAATTCATTCATGATGCTGAGATGACACATCACATATCTTTGATCATTTGCAGACTTCCCATACACTCTAGCACTTTCCTGCAACACTGTAGCAAAAACCGTACTAGTGCTGCAAGAGAAGACTATGCTCGTTTATGTATGTGAATTGCAGCATATTTATTGCCTGCTATTTTTACTTCCCTGGATTCAGTACAATTAATTATAAAGGCATGAATTAATACAGATTTTAGCTGATTCGAATCACAAACACTGTTCTGAGAAAGATGTTTAAAAACCAGCAAGTCTGAATTTGCTATCCCTGGAGCTCAACAGTTTGCTCAATGACTTTATTCTGACTATTCGTACACAACAAATTCACATTCAAACACAGTATTAAAATTGAGGGATATGAAGGCAGAAGGTTGAAGAGTAACAACCTTCAGGTACAGGTCGCAACAACATTTTACTTAAGCCTGTAAAAATCTTACTCTTCCTGCCAATGATGTGCGTATTTTAGGCAAAAGGACATGCCTGAAAACTGCTTAAAGATCAAAAGATTGAACTTCTGCTGAGTTGTTTATTTTCTGTCATCAGGACAGCCAAAGGATATAAAAATGGGCTTACTTTGTCCTACTCTTCTTTGTTCATAATTTGATAACATTAATGGGATTAGTCTAATAATGACCCCTTACAACTGGAAAAATTGAGTAAGTCCATTTTACAAAGCAGAACTGGTTTTCAGTGCCAACAAATTACCTTAATTTTGCTCAGATATGAGAGGTATTATTTTACAAAATTACTTTAAACCTTAACAAGGCAATGTTGGCTATATAATCTATAATAGATCTAGATCACAGTGGCAGCCCTTAAGGTGCTATCTGTAGAGCCCAGCACATGAAAAGAAACGGACCAAATTGCTCAGAAAATTATGTTCAGATTTCTGTTACAACTAGGTATAAGCAAATAGCATCTGTGAAACAGCTTACCTTTATAAAGCAGTATAAACCAACACTGAATATAAGTAAAGCATCCCCATATGTTTTGTGCTATTGCCTTTCCAAAGATTTCCTGCCTGTATCTATCCAAATTTGCTTTAGCTAGATCTATGTATTCTTTGGGGAGTTCTGGTATCTCTCTGAATATACTGAGACTGTTGATGACTAAGTGTCTGCTTTCTCTATGTGAACACTGTATTTTTCCTGTTACTGTTATTTGGGGCAAGTTTGGTTTTACATCAGTACTGGCAGCTGAAGAAATTGTATTTACACGTGCAGACACTGATCACAACCAGTCACCACCATAACTGTAGAAATACTTTCTGTGCATAAATGAGGCTGAAATTAGAACACTTCTGACTCTTTTCCTTTCCTTCTTCCCTAACTTGTTCAAAATAGATGCAGCCTGTTATTATCCTATCACATAAACTCTGTTTTCCAGGCTGGCTGTGTTGTCTTTAACCTCTTCCTACCTGTTTGCAATAAAGTCTATTTTACCACAGTCTTTCCTCTTCGTGCTTGTCCTTCCTATCTGCACTCTCGTTCACCCTAGAAGATGCATCAGTCTGGAGCTCCTTCCCTCTCAGGAACTTCTCCCTGTTCTGGTCAGCTTCCTCCAGATATTCTTCTGATGCTCTGCTTTATCTGCCCTTGTAGTACAGATGTTTCTGTGGTAGAGATTTGATCTTCCTCTCATAGGCTTTGAAAGATCACTCCAGTAGGGTGGCTCTTTGCTTCTTCCTTCAGTGCATCTCCCACTTCTCCTTTGGGCTGATTCCTCCAAAAGTCTTCCTTAAAATGGGGAAGTTTTAACTTTATCATTTCTCCTCTGAGGAAGGCATTTTCAAGGAGCTGCTGTAGATTTTTCCTTGTCAGAAAGCTTCACAAGCAACACTGTCAAAGTTTCCTTATCAGCTCTCAGTGTTGTGCTCTCAGGAAGCCCTCACTGCTCTGCACTGTCAGACAGCAGAGCATGTCACTTTGGAGATGGTTATCTCCAGGATCTTCATGTTTGGCTTTTCTTGGCAATAAGTAGTATGTAAAAGTACTGCAGGTTTAATCAAATTTAGAAAAAAAAAAAGCACATAAGGGCTTTGAACATTCAGGAGGCAAATCTGAGTCTCTTCTGCTTGTTTTTTTCACAGTGTTTCTGGGTACTTTCTGCTCTGCCATCAGAAAGACCTGTCTCTCCTTCCTTAGATGTTGCTGATACTTATTGTCACGCAGTATCTGGATGGGTGCCAGGTTTTGCACAAAGAGGAATTATGATTACTTCAGGCAAAATAATAATTACTTTGCTAAATCTCAGGTATTTTGAAGAGATTGAAACACTGCTGTCAATTGCAAGAGCCGTATAGCCAAACTAATAATAAATTTATTATGATTATAATCACCCAGCAGAAGAGACTAAATTGTGTTTTGTCCTGGGGTCAGAAAAGGCACATAATAACCAGAGCTGACACTGGAACAGTAAGTATCAGCTCTTCTGATTTTATGTCCATAATGTTTTAGGCAAAGATGTTTGACTTTGGTCTGCAGCCATGGACAAATGAATATTTAACATTAATTGAAAAAGACTTTTTTGAGGGTATATTAACTAGTCTGTTCCATGTCTTAATTCTGTTCTGCGAACATCCTTTTAAGTGATTTAAGAATTTGACAGTCAAAGTACTATTACTTCAAATTAGCACATTTCTGAATCTTGTTCAGATTCTGGAGTTGACTTTGTGGGTTAACTAGAGTTCTGCTTCTTTGAGCAAACTACAGTGATTTAGAAATATACCAGAAGGATCTAGACCTACCTTCACCATTCTTTTGGTGCAGGTCCTCAAATATACCAGGACTGGTATAATTCTGAAGCACAGCATGTCAGATAGTCAGGGCATGGACAGTGATGAAACCCGCTATATCCTATACACTAGACAGAAGCTTTTGTATCTCCCTCAGTATAAAAATTGGGTGTAGGACAACAAGGGACCTGACTGATCAACACTATTGAGATCCAGTTGCCAGATTTCCAGAAGAGCAGAAGAGATGAACTAGTGACACTCTGGGCTGTGCCTATATCCATTGGTTGCTTGAAGGAGAGGATCTCTTCTCCCTTGATACCATGGTCTGCTGTTATCAAAATCAAAAAATAGTTCTGTGAAGAACATTGAGAGTTTACATCCTTGCTTTCAGCTGGGATCAAGTCTGCTTACTTCAAGCCGATTCTCTGGGCTGCTCTTCAGGTGCTCCAGTAGAAGTTTCTCAAACTTACTTCCTAGGAATTCAGGCTTCATCTGGGCACAGGACTTCTTCCTTTCCTTGACATGTGACCTCAGTACAATAACTAGGGCTCTTTTTAGTCACTCAGACCATTAGCATTTCTGTTAATACCTGCTGTTTGGACTGGGGGCTTTTTCCTTCTAATGGCAGTATTTCATAGTAACAAAAAAGAAACACTTTGTTCTGAAAAGAAGTTTCTATCCTTCTGATTCTTATTATTTTACCCCAGGGAGCACAGTGTGAGCTCTGCATAGTCCTCTCTTTCACTTCTAAGAGATCTGAGAAATGTTAGAGATTCTACTATTGTACAGATATTTTTTTAGGAGGCTTAGGACAAGGTTATTCCTGCAACCATGAATCATACAGTCATGTCAAAACACAATTTATTAAAATGATTGCAGTTTGAGTAATACATCTATGCATGGGTTACCAAACATCTAAAATACTTAATCCAGACTACTAAAATCACACCACCACAATGCAAAAGCCCCTCTGAGCTGCTCGGTCATACTTTCTGTTGGCAATCTATTCCCTTTCCCTTTTTTCCAAAGTTTCTTAGATACCTCTTCTGCACCAAGCAGGGCTTTTTTATGCCCTGGTCTCTTTAGCTCTAAGAGTCAAACATTCATTATTATTTGAGGTCTTATTAGCCTTTCGAAAAAGCACTGGTTGAATATGTATACCACCTGCAAGAAATCCATTTCTATTTTGTACCCCAAGATGATCATCCTTTTATTCTGGTGGCTTCTTTCCCAAATCACCAAGTTGCTCTCAAAAGATTTCCCACCTCCTGTCTCACAATCCAGCATTTTAAGTGTTACTGAATACCATTAGCAAGTCTTTTGTTCTACTGTAGAGGTGTAAAGTTACCTATTCAGTCATTCATTTCACATTTTGGTCCCTGAGGCAGCAGAATGTATTTGCCTCAATAAAAGGCTGTAGCAGCTGAGCTTTGATTTAGTATTATAAAGACAGGCACAGAATCTTGTTGGCGTAAATTCCGTTTAAGATATAGGGGCTATACTGATTTATTCCCACTAAGGATTTGTCTCAAAGGCTTTACTGTTTTCCCCATTTTTTAACTTTCTTCTGTTTTCTCTTCTAGGGCAACAGGCTTTGGCTTTTTGAATGCACTATGCAAAGCAGCAGCTGTACTTGGAAACTTAATATTCGGTTCCCTTGTTGGTATCACCAAAGCAATCCCTATTCTCCTTGCTTCTACTGTTCTAGTATGTGGAGGTCTGGTAGGACTTCGGCTTCCTGACACAAGAACCCAGGTGTTGATGTAACTGGAAAAAGCCATTCACTAGTTATTTCCTTCTTCGTACAAATGTCAAGTCTCCTGACTGATGGTGCAAAGGCTTCAGATTCTCAACACTTAGTAGAGTGCTCAGACATCAGAAATCAAACTCAAAAGATACTTTGGAGTGGCAGAGATTTAGAAACCTCTCTCTGAAAGTTCTAAATTTCACTTTTGTTTGCTTGCATACACTGCTATTCAAAACCACTTAACTACAAACTGCAAAGCTACCTCTTAAAACACTTTCAGTGACATGTCCAGGAAGGTAAAAAAACATACCGATAATTAGATATTTAAAATGCAAGAAGTCATATTATTTAAAAATACATGCTAAATTTGGCCATGGCATTGTGAGCTTTTGTAACAGTACAGTCATGCAAGTCAATTACTTAGCAGTATTGGTGCAGAGAATATTAATATTACATGTATCAATGCATGCAGCATTAATCAGGAAACTCTACAGACCACATCAGTACTGAGACTACTGACCTTCTGCGGCTATGTTTAGATGGTAAATACTTGTGGCAATGCCTCTTTCTTGAGAAACCTTTTTAGGTAGATTCAATCTAAAGTAAAGATTAGCAACTACACCCCATATTTGCTGAGGAGAAGGCACCAGCTGCTGCAGGGAGATGAAAAGCCCATATGGGTCAGCAGCAAAGAAAATAACAAAATAAGCACTTTCATGCTTTGCTGCTGATCTTCCAGAAAAAAATTGTTTTCTTCTCACTTGTGACATCTGGGGTATTTCTGCCGTTTTAAAACAGTGAATTTGTCTTAATCCAGGAGTAAATCAATGCAAGTATTTATGTTGTTGTAAGTATGAATAAAGGAAGAATCAGGCCAGTGAACTATATGAAAAGTAAAATGCTTTCAGAAAAGTTTGTTTGGTATTTACATTTCTAATATGTTTTTCTTTGTCACAGAATGGTTATAAAAATATGTGGCTATAGAATGCTACCTAGTAAATTTAGTCTGGTCATAACTTTAATATAGAGTATAATGTAATTAAAATATCTCAAAAGATTTTTTTTAAATAATATCAAAACAAAGAAAAGCAATAATAAAAAACATCTTCATTATTTTCAGTTTATACGCTTCTTTATATAACCATTTTCTCAGCTGATTTTTAATAGTTCTAGATATATCTCACCATTTAACACTTTCAAATATCTCTGTGAAAGGCCATTAAGAAAGAAACCATGGCAAGGCTGCAGGGAGTGGTAATGTCTTCATTAGACCAAGTGCAGGGATGGAGAGTAAATGATAGTAAATATATTCCTTCTAAGCCATATCCTGTGGACTGTTCTAGATTACAGTAAAGAGTTCCTCACCAGTCCTATTGCTCTGCAAAAGGCTATGGGATCTCTTTAAAATGTTAGCATTAAAAGCTAAGTAGAAATACATCTGTAAAGTTAGCAGACAGAAGGGGCAAATCCTTTGATGACAGAAACTGGCATTGCTTTCAGTGGAGCTAAGAAAACTTGTGTCAGCTGATGAACTATCTGCAGTTTCAAGTTTCAAAGAACAAATTTAGTAAAACACACAAGGGAAAATTTATCAGTGTTATTTCTAATTATGTCTGAAAACATTTATTAGGTGGTTGAATCATTGCCAAAGAAATTAGGCTTTCAGATAAGGTCATCATGTAGTAGGATAGATTTTTTTTTCGTTAATTTTTTTCTTACTCATCTATGTGAACTTAGCTTGGATAGTAATATCTCTGACTGCATTCTGTGTCAGTTGTTGTCTTAGTTGTATTGAAAGAGTCAGTAAAAGTCCACATAAGAAGATCATTCACTACATTTAAAGTTCACTGTTTAATTTACTGATTCTAGAAGTTACATTTTTTTGGTTATTAACAAATGCCTGTCTTTCTTACACATTGTGGCACCAAAATGTTAGCCCAAGATGTGGTTTTCTGCTATTAACAAATGAGAAAAGTGGCTGAATTAACAGAAGGCATAAGTATGGAAAACTAGTGGGCAATTTTTTTATGTTGATAAATTAAATATGTTTTTTTATGTTGATAAATTAAATATGATATAGTAAGAAACAAAGTTTAGGAAGCGTGTTTATTTTGCAACATAAACAGTCCAGATATTTCAGATTAAATACTTTATATTTAAATCTGACTTAAACAGGTCTTTAAATTTCTAAACTATGTTAAAAAAAAGTTTTGCCTTAGTTTTCCACTAGTCATAGTCTTAATATTTTTTCAAGGCTGTTTTCTCCAAGGAGAATTATATATGAGCCCTGTTTCTCTGTGCCATTCATTCGCATGTGTCCACCTCCTTGTACTTACTGCACAACTTATTTTGAAATCTGAAGCCTCTGTACATGTTTGGAGTAAATTTCAACAGCAATGGTAAAATATTACATTGTCTTGCTGTGCACTGTCCACTTAAGAGTATTATATTCTGACCATCTCTGTATGTAATTCCAAAGAACATCTAGATCCAACACTTCATGCCACCTGACCAGTGTGGAGGAAATGGGCCACAGAAAAATAAGGTTCAACTTTTGAGGGCTACAGTTCAAAGCTAATACACTAAAATCTCATTACATGTAAAATTATGCTGATTTCAATGTTCATTCTTATCCTAAATCCTGACTATATCATAAGTATGTGATTAAGTCTGGATGAAGTGGAATATAGCAACAAAAGGAATTAGTAAAGATGAACAAAATTCTCAACTACATGGACCTTGCATGGTCTGGGATTAGAGTCAAAGTTCTAAGGTAAGAAAAGGAAAAAAGAAGAATATTGGGTAGGAAAGGGGAGAAAAAGTAAATGGAAGAGATGAAAAAAGAAAAAACCCACAAGCATTTCCAACATATTTACCAAAACCTAAAGCTAGAATCTCCCTAACTGGTGAGCCAGTTCGCTCAACAGATTTGGACTAGGGCACAAGCCAGCATCAAAGCTGTTTGAACAATCAGTTGTTTGGGCTTGAGTTCAGTAAAGATTTTTCTCATAAAGACAAAAGAAGTGAATGCAATTTCAAGCTATAAATACTTGGTTAGATAGGTACAATCCACAGGCTGGAACAGAAATACTTAATCTACGGAGATCTGGACAGAAATGTTGCTTGTGTTATAAGCAAAAGTGATTTGGCTGGTCTTTAGTGAATCTGCCTTTTTCTGCAGCTTCCAAAGCAATCTCAGGTAATAAATATTGGACAGTAGGAATTACACTTCCTTTCTGTGTCTATTCACTTATATCTCACACAAAGAATCACTTAGTAGCCTATTTAGAACCCTGCTGCACCACAGAAAACCGAACTTCATAACATTTGTATATGACAGCTATCAAATACATGTAATCAGAACTACTTATTTGTCTGTTTTGGTCACTGAACTGACTGACCACTAATTGGAAACTCCTTTCAGTATAAATTTAAGTGGGATATAAGGTCTAGTGCTCTTCTCCTGTAAAGCTGAAAGGCTCATCCCAATGACGTCAGTGACAAAAAGTACAATGGCCCCTGAAGACAGAGAAGACTGACAGCATTTAAAACAGTATTAACCATTATGGTCAACTACTTTAAAATTTGAAAATTGTCCACCAAAGAGACCACATGTTTTCACTTTTGTCAAAGAAATTTTGTTTTAATTAGTTCTACTCCTTACAGGTTGTCTTACAGTAGAGCTTGACTTAGCAGAGTCTTATTTCTTGAAAGCATCTTATTCATTGTGTTTGTATGTTTTAACCAGATTGGCTATATTCATGTTAGCACCTTGTTGGTTGGAAGCATGCACTACAACATTAGGTATGCATTGCATTGACTGATGAGTACGGACTCCTAGCAGGGAACCAGGACTAGCTGTTCATGGTTTCTGGGGTGCTGAAGGGGATTGATAATGAATCATATGTTGGGAAGTCTTCTTCCTCTATGCTTGATTTTAGCCAGTGCCCTTCCAGAGGTGTATACTACAAAACTTTGACACAGGTGAAAAAGGGTTAACCCTCCTTCCTGAAGGCTTCAGTAGTCTACTGTTTGTTCACCATCTTAGAAAACTGGGGCAAAGTAAGACTGCTAACTCAAGCTCTGCTCTCTTTCTCTTCATGCCATTCCATTCATTCCATCCCAAATTACTTTTCTTACCAGAAGGCCAATCTTAAAGAAAGTGAAAACTCACTGCTCTGGCTCTCACTTACTTCTGACTTCATAGTAACATTCAGTAAGACGGTTTGCCACATATCTTTTGCAATTTGGCCATCCCTTTTTAAACCAAGATGGAAAGCAAACTCAAAAGTCCCTCAGACAATCTCACCCTTTCAAGGCAGCCAGACTCCACATTTCCCCACATATCCAGAAGGCTGAACTAATACAAGGAGGGGTCTCCTCTCACAATGGCCATTGTTGGGTTCCTTCTGATGTGGGTGCAGATATAGGGGAATCTTCTTGTCTGTGCACCTAGCTCAGCTCCATTTGGAGGAAATGTTGTTCTCTGTTCTTGTTTTCTTTTTCTACCACTGTAGAGCCCTATCATTGTGTAACTGCTCTTGAGGCATAACTGCTGATTCTAATTCTTAGCAATATAATATAGTCCTCAGCCCATCATATGGAGAGCTTCTGTGTGCTGGGCTTTATCTCTCTTCCCCTTTGTGAGTTTTAAAACAATCTTCATTAGTCAGAGAAAGATGATTACATCCAGTCGCACCTCTTTACCTAAACAAGATAATATCATGCTAATACAACCTACAAGCCATGTTTCCTGTTTAATAGCCTGGAAATGCAATTGAAATTTCAATCACAATGTTGAAAAATAAATCCTTGCACTCAGGGGGTCAAAGACACAAGAAGTGAAAACAGAAATGCTCCATTTCCTCTGGAGTCTTGAAAGAAAACACATGTTTGGTAATCATATTCCAGAAAAAAACACATCTGAGAGACTGCTTTTCCTCTGCATTTCCTGCCTTCTTCTTCATTAAATTCACTGTAAAATATTAGGTATTTATCTGAATTAATACTTTCCAATGCT